TTAATTATATTATTTTAGATTCATTACTAAAATTGGAGCATTTAAAAACATATCATTCGACTCGAAAAACATATCATTCGATTCGAATATTTTTTAATTAGAAGATACTTATTCAAAAATCAATTAAGTTTCAGATTACTAAATTATTCGCTTGTTCGAAAAAGCCCCGAAATGTTAATTTTATGTGTAAATAAAATATAATGTAAAAGCGCAGATTGCTTGGTTTGGGGAAAAAATTGCAGCGGTTAATTGCATAAAGCAAAGTGCTTTTGATAAGATTTTACAAATGTTTGGAACCGTAATTACGTTCACGTATTTTTTTGGATTTTTATAAACAGAAAGAAATAGAAATATATCAGACTAATCGAGAAAAATCATCAATTATATAGAAATAAAAAGTATATTTTAAAAATTGTTTACCATTGCTCGATAATTGGAATATCTAGTTGTATGAAGGTTTTAAAACTTCTCTAATTTTTTTGCAATTTATTTAGCTATAAAAGAATAAAGCATTTAAAAAATTAAACTTGTCTTTTCATGTAATTAGTAAATTGTTTAAAATGCTTCTACATTTTAACGCACAGTTTATAATTGTTCATTAAAATTGTTTTTGATGTCATTATTAAATTTTAAATCGTTATTTCTTAAAATTGTTTTTAAAATATTTACTGTTATATTTAGTTTAAAGTTTGTCGTTTTCGCTTGCTGTACTCATTTTTAGGCGCATTTTTTAAATTCGAATTTCAAAACAAAGCAAATTTTTATTGCTGTCCAGTCAGTTTTGAATTAACCAAATATTCCACTGAATAACTGAATTAATACTTCGCAAATTCAACACAAAATGGAACAGTTTGTAATAATTTAATCAGTCAGAATAATTGATGTATTCATTTATTGTGCCTCTATTTTATAATTTGCAATATGTAAAACTTGTTTATATAAACTAATTAACAATTGAAATTTTACAAACTCCTGTAAGGTATCTATATTTCATAAGTATGTAATAATCAATAATGTGTTAGCAAGATAAATATAATTTAAATTGGCCCATAGCATTCAAATGACACTGCTCACCTCCCATTACATATTCCTAATTCACCCAGCGAACAAAGCAGCATTTGTAACTAAGTTAAAAGCATGGAAACCACCAAATTCAAACTAAAGGTTTATTAGATAGATCGATACATTCATCCGAAAATTCAGCGAAAAGTTTCCACTGTCGCAATCACCCACCTACCACCAATGAATGCTCTCCCCAATTATCAGCTTCATTCTGATTATCCGTAATTTTCCATAACGCAACCCTTTTAAGCGAATAAGTCCTACTAAACATAGCTACGAGCCAAGAAATTCATCAATCAACTAACTAGCGTTACTTGAGGAAAAGGCATCCTACTCTAATCATAGCAACCTAAAACTAGCCTCTCTAAAATGCTTGTACCAAAGCAGAAACAGACATTGGCACATCTATTCGGTGGCAGGAAGTTAATATGGGCCGGAATAAAGATTAGCTCTGGTCGACTTTAATGCTATTAATTATACTGAAAGCGCGAGCGTTGTGTTAGCGTGCCCCTTATTAATACAGAAACCATTACAGGGTAAGGGATATGATAATAGCCCTGCATTGTAATTTGATAATGCAAATATTAGCGACGTCCCAATGACATTTCGAGTCGGTTCGTCCCCCAGTAGGAATTATTGCAGATCAAAGGTATTGAACTCGCCCTGTTCTGACGTTTGCTCCTTGAGATGTTGGTCATGTCGGGCAGTGGCGTGATTGCCACCAGAGCTAACAGAGTTATTGGACTCGAGGTGGGGTTGGATTTAAGCGGGGAGACAGATATATCTTGCGGCGTAAAGGTGAATTGTCAAAGCATGGGAGAATAGGGAAAGATACGTTAAGGTGGAATATACCGATAAGATTTTTCTGAAATTTCTGTTTTACTTCTATAAGGCTTCTAAAGTAAACGAAAAATGTCCTCAGAAATATTGTATTTAACATTTGTGAAAATTTAATGTCTGAAGCTTGAGTAAATTACATTATGAATGCCTTGTATGTACTAGACCACTTCTACTTCAGTACTTTTGGGCTAAATTGCAATTTCTAATTAAGTGAATAAAATATACTCAGAATTAGAGTTAGTATATCGTCGTCGTTCAGGTAGAAGTCGCCAAGGGCAAATTTGTAGTTTCGAGATGTGGTCAGTTTAAGCTAAGTTAATTTTGAATCTCTATGATAACAGTAAAAATTATTCTACAGATTTCCAGTTTCCTACGGTTGACTTACTGATGTTTAAATAACAGATTTCTATCACGAAATAATTGATTGCAAATTCTAATTGACAGCAGAAGTCCATCAAATGATTTTTGAGCACTTAGTGATTTCTGCCTGAACGCGAAGACGATATGGGTTCCATATGGAAGCTATACAAATGCTGTTTTTGGGGCGTAGCTCTTGGCTTTGAAGCGTGGACGTTCCATGGAAGGGCGACAGGTTTGAAGCGTGGAAGTATAAAATCCGAGCTATTGTTCCATTCTCCAAACATCCATGCGAAATTCGAATCCACGATCCTTTGATCCCAATGTCGATACTGTTTCACCGGCTAATTAATGCTGCCCGACGATTGCTGAAGTGACATATATATCTCGTAACGAGGAAGAGAACTTCTAGAACAGAAAAAAAAAACATAAGAAAGATGCAGTTCGGATCCGCGCCGTAGATTTTTCGTGAAAATATCGGGATAAAATCATAAAAGAAGTGTTTCGTATTAATATGTGATTTAATTATCAATCTCTTTAATACAATATTTACACAGAGTAGTACAATGGTTACAGGATAGATAAATAACAAGCTACCACAGACCCTTGCTACATGCCATAAACTTGTGATTTATCTATTCTGTAACCATTATACTACTCTGTGCAAATATTGTATTAAAGAGATTGATAATTAAATTACATATTAATACGAACATTTGTTTTATGATTTTATCCCGACGTTTTCACGAAAAATCTACGGCGCTGACCCGAACTGCCTCTTTCTTATGTTTTATTTAGAGTAGCTTTTGATGGCATTTCGCGTATGTGCAGTAAAACATTATTTACTACAAAAGCTCATATTTCCCGTAATATTCAAATTTTTGAATTCTAATTTTAATACAATGTTTCTTTGACGTATTGTGAAGTATTCTATAAGTTTCGTACAATTGGAAAGAAAACTATGCATGTTATAATGAAAAAACATACGGAGTTTGAAATTTTCAATTTAATAAAAATTTTTACTTATATTCTGATAAATATTTTTATTGTCTCACTTTGGATCCTAGTAAAACTTTTCAAGCTCTTTAAAACGACACCAGAATCAACCTCCTAGCTAAACGCGTTTCCACGCTACACTTATTTATAACCTTACATAAAGCTAATTCATAACAATCAAGCGCATGCGCCTACACTGGTACGATGACGTCACAGACAAAAAATACTGTGCGACTAACTCTTACCGATATGATCTATCCGTTGTGGGGGTCAACTATTCTTTTCGCATTATTAGTCTCGTAGTTATTAGAGATTCAAATCTGATGATATTTTGTCACACAAGAAAGTTCGACCGACTATCACTGTAACGAGTGGAAAGACGTTTTCACGTCAAAAAGAAAAAGATTAATATGAACGGAAAACACCAAGAAGATATTTCTTAATTTTTTATTTTCTTTCCCTTAAACTACAGTTTTTAAAGAGGAAAATCCCTTTTGATTTGGGAAAAATGTTTCATACAGAAATTTCAGAACATTTGTCATTCTGAAAAATGCTTACGTATTATATTTAATCCCCAGACAGAATATGGAGCATATATATTTCATATTTTGTCTGGAGATGTCATGCATTCGATGCAATAAAAGCTCTGTAGACATTCTTGGTATCAAGTGTATTTTATTGTTAATTTTATTTTAAAATCCTTTCTGCTATTTCAGAATAAAATGAAGCTGTTTCGACTGAGCCTTATGGATTCCAAAGACTCGCACAATATAAGACAAATGGAATGCTGCATTTGTTGAAAGCAATTTGTCATAATTTGTTTTGTAAAATGGAAAACAAAACGGCTTACAGAATAAAGTTTGAAGAGTGTTAAATATATATTCTAATGCGAAATATTTTCAATGTGTATTCGCTCAATTTTGCTTAGGCGAAAGGTAAACAAAAAAACAATGTTAACCGAGGCAGAATCTAAAATATTTTCAAATAAAATGAATTCAATGATGTAAATTTTTATTAATTTATGAGTCGCACGATCTTTTACAATTTATCTGAAAAGTATCTAATGAATGAAGGATTGCTCAACTAATTTCAGAATGTTAAGTATGACTTTGTTATGTATTAAAAAATACGTTATATTCATTTGTTTTCAACGAAATAAATTATATTTATCTGAAAAGTAACTGATGAATGAAAGATTTCCCGACTAATTTCAGAATTTTACGTATGGCTGTGTTATGTATTAAAAAAAACATTATATTCATTTGTTTTCAACGAAATAAGTTATATTTTGTTACACGGCTCTTTCAAATAATGGAACTAATAGTTCACAAGTAATATGAAAAAAAAATTTAAAGTCAATTCCTACTTAGGTCAACAAAGAAAAATTTTATTTTAGAAATTTTTTTCTTCCATATAAAACTAAAATTAATTAATTAAATTTAATTAATGAATTAATATTTGAAAAAACTGTATTAACATCAAGTGTCATCCACTGCAAGTTTTTAAAAATGTATTTGAACTTGAGTGGATGAATAAAAAGTATTTTATTAACGATTGAAAATTTGAACAAGATATGTAAATATATATAGGGAAAGTGTGAACTAATAGTAGGAATTGGAAGAAAAAAAGACCTAAGTTTATTCATTCAAACGGGGAACTAAACAATTTTTGTGGCAATTCCCAACAAGAGATATTTTTCAGAATGTAAATTATGTGCAAAAATGATATGTCTTGAGTAAATCTCTTGACCCGGACGTGATTTGAACACGCAGTCTTCTTATTTGGAGTCAGACGCGCTACCGTTGCGAAACCGAGTCCCGTTCCGCATTTCTTATCCCTACACCATGATCGTAGCCTGTGCGAGGCTCTAATAAATAAAATTAATTAATTAAATTTAATTAATGAATTAATATTTGAAGAAACTGTATTAGCATCAAGTGTCATCCACTACAAGTTTAAAAAAATGTATTTGAACTTGAGTGGATGAATAAAAAGTATTTTATTAACGATTGAAAATTTGAAAAAGATATATAAATAAATATATATAGGGACAGTGTGAGCTAATAGTAGGAATTGAAAAATGATAATGAATGAAGTGATGTTTTTATTACAAAGTGGTCATTACGTTCGGAGTAAATATTTTTCAATTCATAATAGATATATTTGAAAATATTATTTTTTAAAATTATTATTTTATTTGCGGTAAATATTTTAGTTCCGATTTTCTTTAGCTTTCCATTTCTAGTACACTACTTAGTTACTTAGCAAAAGTTGTCATCATGACTTTCTTTATAGAATTTAAATTCTATTGAGGTACTCTCGTTTTAAAAACAATATTAACATTTGCGTTCTCCTCACAAATATGACCCACTCTTATTGTGCTCACCTGTAGAAAAGAATTTTTAAATCTCCTAATTATATGATATAGACATTTTCTGTTTTATAAACCACGTAAAAACGCAAAAGACACCTCAGATATTGAAGTATGTCTAAGCGAATATTGTTTTTAAATTAATTGTTATTCTGAATTAATTAAAGATTTAAATATCAAAATTTCTGTGATTCGATGCACGAGTCAGATACGCCATTGTGTATGAAGGGGTTAATTCAAAAATTTTAAAAATAATTTTATTATTGTTATGAATATTTAAAAATTAAACCAAAAAAGTAGACAAAACAGTCTACTTTTCTCAGAAAGTAGCTAATTTAATCTCCAATATAAGAAATGAATATTCCAGGAAAATATGGACAGAAAAATAACTCATTAAACTTAATAATCAGCAAAGCAATGTGCTTACAGTTATTTGCAATAATTGCATGATGTGCAACAGATTCGAAATTTGAATGGGAGAGTTAACATGTAAGCATAAACTGACTAAATGTTTATCTATACTTATATACTTATATACTGAGAGTGTGTGCGCGCGCTATGTCCAGACGAATCTGTCGCACACACAGCCATGGAATTTGGCACACAGGTAGTCGTAATGGTGACTCAATGCACTTCGAAGCCCAAATTTTAAATTTTTTTATTTAATATTTTGTGTTGTTTTTGGTGATTTTTCACACTAATTTCTCATTAGAACGGTTTTGGATAATTGTACGGAAAATGGAAATGCACCATCGAAAAGAGCAAACGATTTCCGTTCTAATGAAGTTTATGTTGTACGTTTAACATAATTTACTCAATTTTGAGAAATTTTTGAAAAATAGTCATTTTTATAGTAATTTTTGATAAGGATTTCTTTAAATTCTCGCATTTGACGTTCTAACATCTCTATAATTTTCATTTTTTTCCAGCTTATAACTGGAACATTTCTGTCGGATTTAAAACAAGAACGGTTAAAATATCTTTTTCCGTTTTTCTTATTAATTTTTCTTTTATCAGTTCAAACAGTTTTTTTGCTAGCGAGATTTAACAGCAAGAGTTTCTCTAGACGGTCCAGATTGCATTGTTGCAATTTCATTGGCTGGTGCGTGACCTTCCTCGCTGCATTTCTACAATCCGATTCCTTCCGGCAGGTGACGTCATTACATCGCGTCACTGTCGATAGAAAAATTAGCGGGAAATTCAATAATGTGTATCCTTTGTTTTCAAAACTTTTTCGTGTCATTGTGGGCATTTTTCCCCCATTTTGTTGAAGTCCTGATTCCACGGGCAACGCCTTGTGCGTACTGCTAGTTCTGAATAAAGACGAATAACTGATTCTTGTTCAACAACCATAGAAATCCATCAAAGATGTAATGTAAAATGTCCAAACTTCGAATGTAAAATGAGAACATATCTCGCTTGTTTTCGTATCTATGATGAGCAAATGTTGAAACAGACGAGGATTTAACAACTCTTCTGGATTTAAGAACTTTATAGTCTCGGGAGAATTTCACAATTCTTTAAATAGTTGAAGTTTTAATGACTGTCTATAATTATATAGTTAGATATGGCTATAGTTTAGAAAATATTTAAACATTACAGATGATTTATTTGGGCTGCATGCTATCTCCGACAGGAAAGATTTCATTAAAACACTTATAAACTCATAAATATTTTTCAAAGTTTAATTATGAATTTTAATAATCTAATGAATATAAAAACTCAAAAATATAAAATATTATAAGGCGAAAATAAAATTATTTTTGTTCAAATACTCAAAAAGTGGCATTCTTTTTTTTTTTCGACTTAATTCGACATCGATTCTAGATATATACATTTAAGAAACTCATAATTTCTGAAATAGAGCAAGAATATCAAAATCATTTTTCCCATTATTTAAAAATTTTATCAGATACTTTTTGAATTCAGGTAGCTTGTAAAAATAGCTGATAACAGGTAACTAATATTTACCAGAAAATGAAATTTTATGTATGGTTTATGCATCAAATCTGTAGATCTGTATCAGATTTTTGACCAACTTGATCAACAAAATTATGCACTGCTCTAAAATACGTATTCGATTCTCCTGTCTATACGACTATGCTAATCACAAAGAGTGCAATAATGTGGAAATATACAAGAAAATAGAGGCGAGAACACTTAATTTTAGTGAAAAAAGTCAGTTTCGATCGATTATTCAGCGCTATTATTACTTGCAATATCAGTATTATTATTGTTGTGTAATGAGAAATCTTTTGTCCCTTCACGAAATTAATTTCCTTGACCCACATAACAAATTGTAAGTATGCTTGTTTTTCTTCGAAAGAAAACTATTATTTACTAAGAATATTACGAAAGTTATATGCTTGTGAGCACAATCGTTGTCGATTAATAGCACGTTTTGTAACGAAATTTTTTTTTAAACATAAAATGGAAAGTAGATTTTAGATACTGTTCTTTACAAATGAAAGGTTCAGATACGCATCTATCTTTTAGATATTGTGACAAAGAATGAACATTATTATGCTCCGATGGATTTTTATTCAAACAGAAAGTCGTCTAAAATACAAACAATAAAAAATACAATAAAAAATACCAAATGTATACTTTCATTTAAATGCAAACAAAATATGCTAAACATCCATAAATGAAAAATGGATTTTCCGAATGACCACACGACCTTGCATTATTCTACATACTACAAAAAACGTCATAATATTCTTTAAACTAGTTTGAAACACCTAGAACACAATGCTACTTTTTTGATAAATCACAATCTTCAATGACGTTGGGGGAGTTGACACTTAGCATACTTGCCCGTAATGAACCTGGAATTTCCACTGAAAAAGCAAGTTCCCGTGGGTGGATTACCATTATTAAATCATCTGGATTTCCATTATGTTCTCGCTAAGCATTTAAAGCCTATTCATACACCCACTCCAAACCAACCAAATCAAGAATTGCGCGAAACAGCCTTTTTTTGCACCTGTAAGAGGTTTGGTGGGTTAAAACCTTGTATCATTCAATCTCTTTAACCGGTCTCGCCCACAGAGAAGATATATAAAACCTCTCCCGTTTCCAACAAGTGTTGTGGCGGATGTTAGGAAGACCCGAAGATATCAAATCTCCGTATAAAATAAGATCGACCATGTCCCCAGAGGAATGTGTATTATATTACTAAATAACGGATTCGCGGTTGTCATAACACCTATTTGTGGCCGTAGTATGATGGATAGGAAAGAAAGGAAGAGAAGAGAAAGATCAAATTGCGGTTGATGTCGGTTTTTTTTTCATTTTATTTTATTTAGTTATCTGTCTTTTCTATTGTTACGGTGGACTTCAATGCTGAGTCAAGTTCGAACTGGTCTCACTTATCTGAAGTGCTTGTTTTAAATCGTAGATATATTACATTCAGTTCGAACTGGTCTCACTTATCTGAAGTGCTTGTTTTAAATCGTAGATATATTACATTCATGGGAACATTGCTGATTCAACGTTGATAGGACCACAAAAAAATTTTATTTATCCAAAAATTTGAATTAAAAAAAGTAATAAGGAAAGCAATGAGAAAATGGCAAATTTTAGATTTAAGAGTTTTAATTAGTAGTAGGTAATTAACAAATAAACAGTAAGTAATTTTAGCAGATAAAGTAATTAATGTAAGTAAATGAAATAATAAAATCATTTATAATTAACTTTTAATAATTTTAATAAGTAAGGAATTTTATAAACAAACAATATAATAGCAATTTGAATACAAAAATTGTGCAAAAAATTTTGAAAATAAACAATACATTTTTAGTACATTTTGAAAGTATTGGTGTATTTTATGAACACAGAAACTAAGTAGAGAACATTCTTTATTTACTAAAATGCTTTTCTAAATGCATTTTATTTATTTTTATTTTATAAAGTATATTGATAAATGCCTTATACAAGCTGCAGTATTGCAGCAAGAGGACAAGGTTCTTAAACCATTTGCGAAACAAGACTTTCTAATTTCACTTCTTTTTGGTTGTGAATCAAATTGACTACAGGGGAAAAGTGTTAGCACCTTTCAGGTGCTAGCACTTTTCCCCTGCAGTCAATTTGATTCACAAGGTTTCAAAAACTATCTGCTGAACTAGAGACAGTAGCCAATACAAGGATGACGACCGGTCCTAAATTTATATTATGTTTCCAGATAGCATAACTACGAAGAGGAGATTTTTTCCCTCTTCCTGTAGAGGTAGGATCTCAGCGGGAGTGGACAAAGGAGTCATCGTGACTTCACATTTCCATTCCAGGGATTTTGATGTTGAAACACAAAAGTGCTTTCACCCTTTTTCGTAACAATATAATTTTGAGAAGACAGGATTTTATCTTACGCATTAATCTTGTAGAAAAAGTGCAAAATACTAAAAACTTATAAAAATGCTGTTAACTAACGCCAAAAATTCGTGCAGA